ATTCATTCATTCATTCATTCATTCATTCATTCATTCATTCATTCATTCATTCATTCATTCATTCATCATATTTATATAGCCGCCTACCTCACGAACATGACTCTGGGTGGCAAACAATAAAAAACAAGCCATAAAATAAACAATATTAAAACCCTTCCACAATTAAAAAAAAAATCAATATTATTAGAAAACTAGGAGAGAGCATATTTGATGTTACAGGCAACGTGGCCACCTCAGCTTAAAAATAATGCGCAAGAATTGAAAACGTAAATAACAGCAAGCTTGCTGGGCCCGTAATCACAGTGTTTGTTCCTCATTGTCACAAACATTCCAGAATCCCTGGAGGATCACGTTTTTGTCTTCTGACAGGTTTTTATGAATGCTCTTGTTTCTGTGATGTCAGTGCGCCCATAGGCATTCCACTGTTGTCTGCTAGCTCCTGGACTTCTTATTACAAATAAAGTTCAAATATTTTCATTAAGCAAAAAATAAATGCCAGCTCCCAGGATTATCTACACATGGTTTTCCCAAATGGACCCATATATCTTCTATGAAAATCACAGTGTTGGATGGCTGCGGCCCAGGATTATTTAGAAGTATGCCCACTTGTCAGTAATAGGACCAAGGTATGCTAAGGTAGCAGGAGGGAGCCAAAGCTTGAGGAGCGACAGGTAGCATTCTCACAATTTGATGCTCTCTAGCTTGTTGAGTCTTTCAGAAGCTACTTTTACCAGGGCAATCCTTTTCAAAGGTACAAATCACAACAAATCATGACGCAAGTTCCCAGACTGAAGGTTCAGAATATCATTGTGCATAGGATTCCCTATACAAATAGCAAACTCATTCCCTTTATCCATATGTAGCCAAAACAGCATCTTCCTTGTAGAAGAGAAGCCTGGGGGAACCCCTAGATCTGAAGACCTACAAAAACTCTTTATGGAAAAAATAAGAAAAATTCCCACCTTAGATCAATGAAATCTGAACATGCTTGTTGGGCGTGAAATCTGGATGGGGGAAACAACATGATGGAATGGAGTATTTTGGAAAAGGGTATATCTGGCTGGAAACCTAAATACACTGAATGTTTTTGTTATAACTTCTACTTCTTCTGCCTTCGCATAACGGAACCAGACACCACCAGTTATTAGTAGGGTTGATGAACAGCATGTTGTCTCCTACTAGCCTGTCTCCTTGCCCTTTTTCAACATAGCCCTTAGTAAAAGCTGTAATAAATAACTATTACTGTATATCCAATCTGCTTTTTTCTCTCTAGATCTAAGTAGTACTTTTCTTCTGCTTTGTAGGACAGCAGTCCTGGGGTCAGCATTATGAAGACAGATTATCGACCATCTTCTGTTCCACATGTAAGAAGTCCATCTGCCAGTGTTGAATGGGGCTGGGAGAACAGATGAACAGATATTCTTTCCATTCTTATTCTCCAATATCTACCCCATATGTGTATGCTATACCTATCTACACTTACTTACTTACTTACTTATTTATTTTTCCTGAAAGGGTGATGAGTTTCTACCAGTCCTTTCCAAAGGCTCTGAACGGGGCTCTGGATTCAGTCGGCAGAAGGATCTTCGCCTTGGTACTTCAGTAAGTGACAGTTCCTTGTTGACAGAATAGCCTTTTCCCATTGTACTGTCCTCTGCTTTCAACTTCTGCTTTCTTACACAGGAGAAATGTGTCCAAAGTTCTTCACAGCTACTTCTGTATTATCCTTGTGTTTGTACTTCATGTTCCTCTACCTGCTATGTTTCTCTGGCTGCTTTCATTTCCATTTTTTTCTCTCTACTTCCACACTTTTCTCCAGTTGTCTTTCCCTACCAGCATCTGCAGACAGACCCCTCTCCTTTCCCCACTACTTCCTCTCCCATTTGTCTATGGGCTTCCCAAACTCTCTTATATTTTCTTAGCTATGTATCAGCTCACCTTCCATTACCTTTCCCATCTTGATCCCTGTTTTCTTTGTTGCTGCTTTCTCCTATGTGTCACCAACTCCCTTACATTCTTTTATTCATTATTGTCTTCAGTTCTCACAGGGGCTTCCACCCAATGCAGAAGCATCTGGGCCACTGAGCCACTCTCAGTACCAGGGCCATCAGCGACAGCCTCAAACCCAAACCAATCTTCTAGGACGAGAATATGTGGGTAACACGGTATGTCAGATCTATAATTTGGGGGTTATTGGGGGGTCTTACAACTGTTTCCATAGTCACAGAATTCTTGTTCTGTTCTTGTTCTTGTATCAAGTCCTTAGTTCTGCTTTCATGGCTTTTTCCATACAGGAGCCAACGGGATTCAGCATCAACAACCTTAATTATGTGACACCTGCACATGATCCAAATCTGCCCAACAAGTTTTTGACCAGTTATAATTCCAAGTGAGTTTGGTATTAGTTTACCACCCATATTAGGATAGTAACATTCCCAAGCTATGATCTGCTCTTAAGGCATAATTTTTTCTCTGTATAGGTGGCTTTGATTACTTGAAGCAAGGACTTTGGGGGATGGGTGGTGGGAGTAGAGGGCAGAAAAGATTGCTGGGTCTGCTATTTGTAGAAAAATAGAGATTTACAATGTAGTGTAAACTCTCAAATTGCAAGTTTGCAGTGCCAGAGGCATGCAGTGCCAGGGTGGAAGACATACCTCTGATGTATTTGTGGGAACACAACATGCTGTAGCTGGAATCTGCCAGGCATTAATCATCAATCTCTTATCCTTTTATCAGGTTTTATGAAAACATTCCAAAGGGAGTGGACAGGGAAGGCTGGACCCGAGGAGGGATCCAACCGCAACAAGCCGGTGGCTTTGCTACCAACTATCATGGAACTGACTTAGGCACTGATCCTAATGCCACAGAGACTTTGAGGACTGTTCATCCCCACGTTGGCAGGTAACATCACAGTGGCAGGGCTGTTCCTCTTTTCTTTTTCTTTTGCTCCCTTAAGCCATTTCTGGTGCCCGTTGCCATTTCCTCTCCTTCTGGTCAGGTGGCTTTAACGCTCTTTTATTTTTTACAATGCTTTCCCCTCTGCCATTATAGGACAATCACAACTGTTGATCCATTTTATCGTGATTCTCCCCATGATCGTCGCTTTGCTGCTCTTCATCAGACAACTGTCCCCAATTAAGTAAGTGGCTTGATCCATCGCATTTTAAGGCAATATAAAACCAGTGCAAAATATGATAGTATTATCAGGCTAAGAGATGCAGAGATTATGGTAGTATTTGTGTTTAACTCAGCTACTGTTGAGGAACTGAAGCGCAGCTTAGTGCCTCCCATATCTACTCAAGATTTCCCAATTTCAGAAAAAATGCAGACACATGATGCTTCTCTCTCTCTCCCTCTCTCTCAAGCAAAATGGCACAGAACAATCAAGTTCTTTTCCTTTTCTAGGAAATGTTCTAGGAATTCGCTACGGGTCAATGCTGCAGGGGAGAGAATCCTTCAGATCATCAATGGAGACTATTTTCACATTCATACCATCCTTATTTTTCCTTTCAGCATAAAATCTTATCCTAATTTAATATGTTTGTCTCTTTCCAGCCTCTGTTCAGAAGTGAAAGGCACACTGATGTCTTCAGGCTTCAAGGAAACATTCCACATGCTAAGGAAGGAGCATCAATAATTGCACTGTCGCACTGATCTGTCTTATTTTATGTTGTATTGTTTTAAAGAGACACATACTCTAGCTACGTCTCTTGTCACAGAGGAAACATTGGAACGGGCGGTGAAAAGGCCTTTGGGATAGGTATCGTTTCCATGGAGTCTCTAGAGCCTACAAACTTTGTGACATGATATGACCATCTGACTAGCTGAGAGCTCCTCTTCATGTCCCTCTAACCACAGAGTAAAGATATCAAGTTAAGTAAGGCCTGTCCTCATGACATTGCTTTCATCTCATCCTTAATCCACAGCAGAGGAAGCTTAAATCTGTATTTGGCTCTTCCAATTCTAAAGTGGCGCTTTCCATCTTCTGGCACAACTTTTGGTATGGACACATACTTTCAAGCTTTCTCAGTTATGTGGTTGATGGCACAGCTGGGCTGGGATGTGTCCAGTTCATGTTGACCACTTCAGGTTGCTGTGGACATGGCCCCTTCCCTCTGGTTGCTGGGCACGGCCCTCCATAGGCACTCTGATTTGGACCCCAGGAGACACCAGCTTCTGCAGAGGTACCCAAGAGGATGCTAGATCCACATCCTCCCCCCAGTTGAAAGCTCAACTGACTGGTCACAGGTGCAGCAGAGGAGTGCTCTATGTACTGAAAGATAGCACTTCCAATACTCCTTGCAAACCTTCTGTGACCTATCAGTTGGGCCTATGTTAAAAAAAATAACCCGATTGAAGGTCACAGGCATAGAGCACTTCTGTATCTGTGAGCCATCAATTCAGTAACTTCAAAGGCGGCTAAACCCTCCATCCCAGGTCCCTATCTACACTTGTCCCAACACATATTAAGAGAGGTAATTGGTGATTGCTTTTCCTGATGACGTGAAGCTTGGTGGGAGGGGAGAGGAAGCGAGGGGAATCTACCAATAATTTTCTTTAAGTTTAAGAGCCTGTGACGGAGGCTCACTAGGGCTTGGCAGTTGGGGCTGCACACATTATGCCAGCATATGTTTTGCCAGCTCAAGGACTGGAAAAATGCATGCTAATGCAGTCACGAAGAAGAGCACTTAGTATGCACATGCCATTTGCAACATGCCTTTAAACATCTGGATGTTCTAGTTTGGGAATTACATTTTCTCCTCCATTTCCAGACCTCCCATCACTATACTTGCCCAGTCTTTGCTAAAATCTGTTAGGGAAGACCAATATCTAAGATAAAAGTGTCACCTATCTATGACCTAGGTCTTATATTATTCTCACCCACTGTGGGTTCTGTTTGGTTCTGACTTTATTATTTATAAACCTTGGTCTTTAGGATAGCATGAGGCACAAACCTAGCTATTGGGTAAGTGATGCTCGTGACCTGGCCATATGTCAGTGTCACAAAAGCAGAGAGAAATGGACTGCAGACACCCAGATTCTCTTTCTGGAGATTTTTCCTATCACCTCTCTTCTCCCACCCTCGAGGCTTTCATCTCCCATCTGTATTGAAATGGCATTCCATTCTGCTAAGAGTGAAAGCTGACAGAATATCAGATCTAATACATGTGTCTTTATAAGTAAAACTTAACACTATTTTATTTACAGAATTACAGTACATCCATTGAAGTAGTAAGAATATAGCTCCCTGATCTCAGGCACATATACAGCATACAGAGGTAGTAGAATCTCTTGCCCCCCTCAGGATGTGATGAAACATCATTCTGCAAAGCTTCTATATTCCTCTTTACAGTCTGTTCTGATACCCAAACCTACCTATAGAGTTAATGAGATTCGGTTGCTTTCATACTCAGTGCAGTAAACATTCAGGCAGTTGGGGGAGGCACTTCTAGAATTACAATTCCCTCCGTCTTTTTGTGTGACTCTTAGGAAAAACTTTACTCTTGCACTCTTGGAAACTAAAGACACAGAAATGCTAACCCCACTATCGTGTGTGCTGTATTACTCCTGTTCAGCATGGAACAGACACCGTGGCTTTCTTTACCAGTTAGGTATAATGCACACCAACCCGGCTTTTGTTCTCAGTTTTCTGTCCAGTAATAATAGCTGCCACATTGTACTACCTTTTCCCCCCTTCCATTTCTCATATTTCTCCCAGTGGATGAGTTTTCTCCCTAGGGAATGTTTCATGGGCGGGTGGTACAGGCTGCTGCCTTACTGGAAGATAATATTACGCAGGACCGTATACAGCAGCTTAGTGTCCAGTGCAGTGTCATCTGGCATCTGATCAATTTTTCACGGTGCCTTGGATTAGAATAACACATCTGATTTATTCCAACTGAAAGGAGAAATGGCTGGTAACGGCTGTACTCCTTACCCTGCAAATCCCATGTTCTTGTCTTAGAAGTTCTCTTTTTTGCACATGGGTCTATCTAAAGAGCTAGTTTAAGTTTGGTTTGTATGATGGCTTCTGAAATTAGCAAAGAAGGCACTGTGCACTTCTGTTTAAAACAACCCCGTCTCCATTACAGTTATGCTGTAGCTGTTTTTGCATTCTCAAAATGTGATTGCTAATATTCCCCTTTTTTGTAGCTTGAGGAACCTTTCTTATGGCTCTCTTTTGTTCTGAATGTTTCTCTAACAACTTTAAAGCTTTTGTGATGAGTCTGTATTGCTTATTCTCTAATGCTGCCCCTTTCCTTTCCTAATAAAGTTGTAAGATAAATTCCTTCAGCATGCCCACTTTTCCACCTGCTATATCATTATTGCAAGAAAAGGGGAGGGTTGCTACCCACTTCTTATCATTTGTCAGCTAGCACATGGCCACACAGTCAAAGGTAAGCCTTCCCAATTTTGGCATTACCATCTTTTCATACACCTTGCAGAATTGTACTCTTTGCCATGCTGTTCTTACATGTTAATTCTCTGTCTGAGACATACTCTCTCTGCTTTTCCCTCCCACTGAGTATCTGTGTTTATATTTTCCCAGATGGAATTAGCTGTATTTTCTGAAGATAAGCAGTGCATGCTGTCACTGAGTGAGTAGGGGGTTCTTGTCCCAAATTGTGTTTTTGTTCACCATGCTTGTGAGTGGACAAGCAGGCATATTTTCCGTTTTGGTAAAAGCTTGTATAAGGGCTATAGGATGATGCTATGGTTATCTACAGAATGGATAATTGATGTGTGATTATATTGTTTGTGGCAATGTTAAGGCCTTAAAAGGAACACAGAAATGTGGATCAGCTCTGTATTATTAGCTAGCAATTGACTCAACAGAGAAATGCAGGCATATAGCTGTGGAAAAAGAATCCACATCACCTTTTTTCAACCATCTGGAGTGAAACGAATGCAGAGTGGGTGTCACAATGATGTTACAATGATGTATGTGTGTGTGTACACACACACACACACACACAAAACACTGAAATAGCTAGGATACCAATGGGGATTGGTACCAAAATAACTTAGCATACCGGTGGGGATAGGCTGAGAGAGCTACTGGGTATTGGTGAACTGATTGAGATCGGTATCTCTCTGGGTATAGAATTCTCAGAATAGGATGTATCTGCTACTAAAGTTAACTCAGAAATGAGTTAAGTGCTCACTTCTGTGGGAGCTAGTCAAGGATCTAGACTATTTGTCTCAGTTGCTGAATGTGCATGTGCCATCAATGCTGGTATTCATTTATGGATATGATTTGTTGTTTATGCATGTTAGGCAGGTATAAAGATTTTTATATACGTTTCCATAAGTAAAAGGTAGCATTCACACAAAGAAGCGCCTATCATCAGTTGCTGATTCATTACTTACAGCCATAGGCAGAGAGACATCATAATGATGCTTCACTATTTATTTCATTTCCTGGGTTATAGTAGTTCCATATCTTTATGTTAGTACAGCAGACACTGTAGACTTTTAGCGACCACTCTGAACATTGTAGCAGCAGCTTCACAGCTACATAAGAAATGTATGTGTTGGCATCTATGATAAAGTAGTATTTTCCTACACTAAGGCAGCATAACTAGAGGCCAGGGTTTGTGTTACAGCAGATGGTTCACACTAAAATCATAGGAAGAACAATGTCATGCACATTAGGCTGTAAATATCGCCTTTTTCCAGATTGTTGAAGCAGGTAGAAATGCTTTGTCAGCTTGGTTAAGCAGTCAGCGGTATGTTAAAAGTCAGTCCATGTGGAAATCTGAATGTGCTGTTGACTTGTGTGCAACCTCCTCAGCGTATTTTTGGAGGGAAGGATGCAGAGGTGTCCACAGGTGGGGTCGAAAATGTCAAGCAGGCAGCCGGAACCATGTGATTGGAAACTGGCCTTTCTATGTGTGTTGTGACACATGCGAAAAGGGGGTGGGGCTTTGCTTGCATACTTGTGGCCACCATCTTGACTTTTGAACCTCCCCTTGCAGACATACCTGGAAGGATGGATTAAACTCCTCAAGCGGTGTCTTTCAAGGTGTTCTGCAGGGATTCGAGTTATTGGCTGGATTCAACTTTGCAGCTAATCTATCTATTTGAAATGTGGACAGAAGGCTTCCTTGCCATGTGGTTTTGAATAGAGTTGAGGAT